ACACATGAATGCATGCATACTGAAGTAGTACAAAGAGAAATATGGACAAGGGAGTGTGGCTTGCCCATATCCCTTAATGGGTGCTTTCTCATTCTATCTCTGACTCTCTCCAGTGACAAGTGCACATGCCCTATTGCAAAAATTAAAAAAAAAAAGAAAAAGAAAAATCCTGACTATATTTTGAGTTAATAGGTTAGAACATTGCCTGCTAACAGACTACCCAGGAAGTTCCTTGCGAGTCCCTTGAGCATGATCACTGTTCCTCCTCCTGCTGTGGCTGTGGTGGAGTAGAACTGTGCCCCACCAGAAGATCAGCAATGCTTGGGAGGATAGGGAAGTGTAGGTAGAATTCCTGGGTCATGATCTTGCAAGTGTTTCCATCATTAGGTGGGTCTCACAAGTCCCTAAGTCTCCTTCTGGAGGCTGGAGTGTCCTTAGCCAGAAAAAAGAAGCCATGGAAAGCGTCTCTGGGCTGATCTTTGTCTCTTGGGTTTGGACATGGCTCTTGAAATATTTCCTTTGTTTCTCTTTCTTTTTTTTTTCTTTCTTTTTTCTCCTTTCTTCACTTTTTTTTAAAATTGTCACTTTGATTTTACTTATTTCTAAGTCTTATATTTTATAAATATATGCTGATACCATATCTCATTTATTTTAATCCTTCTAATAACTTGGCAAAAGCACCACTACCAATAACACACATGCTAAAATTACAGATTTTATGTGATTTTAAACAGTTATCTGAAGATAATTATAAAATATAACTTAGTTTTACTTAGAAAATGAAGAATTCAAGAGCCAGCATGTGGCATAGTGTTTAAGGCACTGGATTGCCACATGACTAACTATAATTCAGGTCTCAGACCTGGTGGCTTGCTTACTCTTTCTCCCTCTCTCTGGTCAAATCTTAAAATAAAAAGAAAATCATAATTAATATTAAATAAATAATTCTTTTTTAAAAGTATTAAAAGGTAAAATTTAACTTGATAATAAATCTCAACACACTGATTTTGAAAAGCATCTGATCTTACAAATGATAAAGTATGTAAAATGTTCTTTACTTGTTAGTAAACTAGTCTTTATTTGATAGTATACTCACACCACACTAAAATAAGTAAAAGGCAGTATTTCAGATACAAGAATTCTAATTGGATTGGCAGAGTTAAGACCAAAAGTATACAGTAGACATTAGCACCTTATGTTCAACGCTTACCTTTAATGGGTTAATGAACAAAAAATAAAGCACAGGTGAGTCTGCTTGGTTTTGAATAGTGAAGTTCCTCAGTATTTATATATTCATATAACCAGTTACATATAAGCCTAAAGAAAAAACCTAATCTCCAGTAGATTTTGGTTTCCCTTTTTCCTTTTTATTAGATGTTTTTGCTTTAGGGCTTATGTACTTTCTGGAGAAAAAAGATAGAGACAGAGATAGTGAGAAGGAAAATGAGGAAACATTCTTCAGGGAGAATGGCCATGCCACTATCACTTCTCCTCCATTCTCCTCCTGGGATCTTAGGCATATATGAAAATATGTCTGATGTGATTTTTAAGCCACTACATCTGTGACTTAAACCATAATCAAACATGTGGGAGTCCAGCGATTTATCTCCTATGTCATCTGCTGATTTTCCTGTAAGTTTTGAGAGGGCATTCACAATTTTCATAGAAAGATGAGCATTACTAATGATTTACCAATTATATCTTAGCAAGGGCTAACAGTGATTGCATTCACTAAACAGAATTTACTATCAAAATTTTAAAAACCAGTAATTTTTATTTAATCATAAGCCAGTCTGACCTACAACACGACTGTCCAACAAAAATATCCCATCAGCCAATCATTTTATTTTTGAGAAGGATATCAATTAATTATGGTACAAGTGAAAAAATGAGACATGGGGCCAGCAGGTGATGTGGTGGCTGAGGTACTGAACTACAAGATTGACCTCAGTTTGAGTCCCAGACCAGGAGGTTTATTTTGTTTTCACTTTCCCTTTTTGTCCCTCTGTTTCTCTCTGATCAAATTTTAAATATAATAAAAACGAATGGGATTAAAAGAATGCATCATTCCTTTTTTAGAAAAAAGTAAGACATTTTTGTTTTGACATAAATAAAGGAGTGGCCAACTTAAAACAATTTTTTAAAGAATTTTGCTAAATACAGGGCACATGTGTTGAAAAGAGGAAGAAAGAGATTAAGTGAGAAATTTCTTGCTGCAGGGGGGGGTGCAGAATGTCCATGCTGCAGTCCCTACTCCTCCATTCTCTCAGGATTTGGGAAATGATTTTACATGCCCAGTGGGAGATTCATACCACCAGGTCCAGGACTCAAATTGCATTCAGTCATGTGGGAATTCAGCACCTTACCCACTAGCCCACCTGCTGTCCAGGAAGTTGCAAACTATTACTCAGGAGTAGCTTTTTCAAGATAAGGTACAAACTCTGCTCTTTCTGCATTCTTTTTAATATCAGTAAAAAAATATTTTTGTTCCTGGGAGATAGTTTCTGGGATTCTCCAGACACTCCATCAGTGTATTCTCTCCCCAGGTGATGGATGCTTTTGCTCTTGTTGGCATCTGTGTAGGAGAATCCAGGGGCCTGACCTGTCTTACACCCCAGTAGACTAAAGACTATTCCCAGTCTTGCACTTGTCTTCATTTTTCATGGTGTAGCATTGGCACATTTTGAACAAAAGTCTTCTTGTTGGGAGTCAGCAAGTAGTGTGGTAGTTATGGCACTAGATGCACATATGGCTGACTACAGTTGAACTCCTAGATCTGGCAGCTTGAAAAACATGCTTTGTGCATGTGTATCACATGTCTAAATTCCCAAGAGGAGAATGGATTGTGTTGTGGACATCCCCCCTCCCACAGGTTGATATCTCACTTTTCTTTGTGTGTGTGTTTCTCTCTCTCTGGCAAGTGAGTGCATACTATGCCAAAAAAAAAATCAGAACAAAACTTTTTGCCTTTCTCAATATCATCAATTTTTAATTCTCTCCTTTGTCATTCATACTACAAATGTTCCTGCTCAGAAGTCAGATGTCTTCTCTCTCCTGAAATATTTTTTAAACTCCTTCCAGAGATGGGGAATGAGTGGCCCTTTCTCAGAAATACATGTCTCATAGGGAGCATTTATGCAAAGATAAATAGCCAATTATAATAGAGTGTTAATACTGGACTTTATTTTAGGAAACTTGAATAAATCCTTCTTATACTATGCTGAAGGGTAACATCAACCACTCTTTACATTCTATGAATATATTGTAAAATGACAAGTGACTTATACGTAGAAATTTGAGTAAAACAAGGTGAATACATGATACTACAGGGTTTCTTATGGAATTTAATATGATAAATATATTGTGTAAAGAAATATGTAGTATTGGGAGGTGGCGGCGGAAGAGGGCGGAGGGTAGCGGGATGGGGGTCCCGCGGCAGCGCTGAAACTCCGGGTGGGTGCCCATGGCGCTGCTGCGCTGACAGGGCTGGGAGCAGCCTGCCTTCCGATCTAACCAGATGGGTCTCGAAATAGCCAGTCCTTCCCCGGGGAGTCAGTTCCTCCCCTGGCCCCTGAGCCATGCCCATCGCGGCCGCCCCGGACCAGCCAGGTGTAAATTAATTATTTGAAAAGCAACTGAACAATGGAGCTGTACATCATTCGAATGTACTCTTCATCCCCACCACCACTTGACAATGGAGCTGAGGATGATGATGACGATGAATTTGGGGAATTTGGTGGATTTTCAGAAGTTAGCCCTTCTGGTGTAGCGTTTGTTGATTTTGATACACCAGATTATCTACCCAAGGAAGAGTTTGTACCTTCAAACCATTTTATGCCAATTCATGATTTCTCAGAAAATGTAGATAGCCTTACAAGCTTTAAATCCATTAAAAAGGGTAACGATAAGGACATCACTGCTTGCCTTGCCACTCCTGTGAAAGGACAGTCTGATGTTTTACTTTCTACCACCAGCAAAGAAATCATTTCATCTAAAATCTTAGCTACTTCTGTTGATGGCATGGAAGGGCCAGTAGATTTAAACCAAGTATCAGAGCAGAGACAAAATGTTGCAATACTGGAAAGTTTCTCTCTGGGAGATTTTAGAACTGATGTGAATGTTGTTCTTCAAAATAAGCAGTTAGAGAACTGCAATGGTGAAAAGCCTCCTTGTCTGGAGATTCTCACAAATGAGTTTGCGGTGTTAGAAACTGTAAATCCTCAGGGAACAGATGATCTGGACAATGTAGCCAATTCAAAGGGATGGAAGCCTCTTAGCACTCAAAGCACTGAGTATAATTTAGACTCTGCACCCAGTCTTGTTGAGGAATTTGCAGATTTTGCCACATTTTCCAAAAAGGAAAGGATACAACTAGAAGAAATAGGATGTGTGGTTTTAAATGATAGAGAATCACTAGCCATTCAGGAAAACAATAAAATTAATAGAGTCAATGAACTGAATTCTGTATAAAAAGTGTCTTTGGATAGAAACTTTGACAGCAAAGGAGAGGCTGATGGAGAATATCAGGTTTGTGTTTCAGAAATAGGCCTAGCGACTGACCGAAGCTTCGATGTTGGAAAACAAGGCCTTCCAGGACTGCAACAGGATGAATTTTTAAATTCAAGTGCTCAATCAAAGGCTTGGGGTTTGGTAGACTCAGTTGATAATTCAGAAGCCATTAGGAGAGAACAATGTGAAACTGAGGGGAAACTTGATTTTTTTAATTCTAAATGTGCTGACCTATGCATGGATTCTATTAAAACTTCAGATGTTGATGATGAAGTTGGTTCTTCCAAAGAAGAAAGTAGAAAATTTACTGATCCCCAAAGCCAAAATGTGGATTCCACAGAAGAGAATGCTTTGGAAGATTCTGTAAGTGTGAAAAACGGTGATAGTAGTAATGAATTTGTGACTTGCAATGAAACCAATGAGGATGATTTTGGTGACTTTGGCACAGCCAGTGGCACAACTCCCCCTTTTGTTACTGGCACTCAAGATTCAATGAGTGACGTCACGTTCGAAGAGTCTTCAGAGCACTTTCCACATTTTAGTGAACCAAGTGATGGCTTTGGAGAATTTGGGGATATGAATGTGCTTCCTTGCCCTGAGGAAATGGTATTCACTGAGTCAGACCTAAAACCAACACCGGAGAGCTTATCAGAGGGATGTCAGCTGGCAAGAAAGTCTAGTGGAACAGGCACTGAATCTGTTACAAAACTGAAAAAATGGGCAAGAAGGTGAGTTTGGAGATTTTGATTCTGTGCCAAATATTCAAGACGACTGCAGTGCTTTTCAAGACTCTGATGATTTTGCAGACTTCAGTTCAGCTGATCCTAGCCAAGTTGTAGATTGGAATGCTTTTGAAGATGAACAAAAAGATAGCTGTTCTTGGGCAGCATTTGGAGACCAGCTTGGCAGTCACATAGGACAGATGAAAATGTGGCTACTCCAGGAACCCCTAAAATGCACAGTATCCCTTTAGCAACTTCCAGAGGAGCAGTTGCTGGTGGCCATGCACAGGAATCAGCCACTTCAGTTCAGACAGCTTTACTAAACCGCCTGGAGCGAATTTTTGAAGCATGTTTTCCTTCCATATTTGTTCCTGATGCTGAAGAGGAAGTTGTTTTCCTGAAGCACTTGCTAGAAACAAGCACCTTGCCAATAAAAACAAGAGAGGTCTTAGCTGAGAGTGGGGAACTGCTAGATGTTTGGACGGAGCTACAGGATATCCGTGATGCACATGGCTTGAGATATCAGTGAGGTGGTTCCCATAACAACAAGAAGCTTTTGTGCTCTTTGGGAATAGACACCCGAAACATTCTCTTCACCGGCAATAAGAAGCAGCCTGTCATAGTACCCATGTATGCAGCAGGACTGGGTATGTTAGAGCCCACCAAGGAACCATTAAAACCATTATCTGCTGCAGAAAAAATCGCTTCCATTGTTCAGACAGCCACCACGTCATCAGAGATGAAAACGTGTGCATCTGATCAGTTCCAGGAGTCTCTACCACCCGTCCAGTTTGACTGGAGTAGCAGTGGCCTTACTAACCCTTTAGATGGTGTGGATCCAGAATTGTATGAGTTAACAACTTCTAAGCTGGAAATCTCAACCTCAAGCCTCAATGTGACTGACGCGTTTGCAAGACTCATGTCCACCGTGGAGAAGACCAGCACATCTACCAGGAAACCGAAAAGAGAAGAGCATCTGAGTG